CCTGCTGAGACACCCCACTCAGTTATTTATTGCAGTGACTCCTTATGCCTGTTGTGTGCCTGGCAGGTAGGCGCCTCCCCGAGTCTGAGCTGCTGCCCTGGCCCTGGGGAGGTGACACATGGGAGGGCAAGGCTGGTCTAATGTTGGGGGCTGGGGGGAGCCCCTCATAAAATTCAAAGTGCAAGACTTTTTCAGTCCTATGGGAGGAATGCTGGCCTCATGCCTCAGGTGGAATGGGAGGGCAGGGCTCTGGTGGCAACGGTGATGGGCATACAGCAAGGACCACCCCCAGAGTACCCTTCAGATTGAAGCTTGCTCCTTCCCTGCTGCTTACCACCATGCCTCAGCCTTGGATGTAGTGTAAGCAACAAAATAAACCATCCTGCCCACCTCAGCGGCACTGTGCTTACTGCAGGGGGGCAGGATCAGCCCCTGGGCTGGGGGGGTCCACTGTGTGAACAGGGGGCAGCAGGCTCAGCCCCAGCACCACACACCATGCTCAGACCCCCCTTTATTTATTTTCTGTTGCACACAGGGACTGACCCCTCCCCAGGGCAGAGCCCTGGGCCTGTACCTGGCTGCTGCTCCCCACCTTGCTCCAGGGCTGGGAGCTACTAAGATCCCAATCCTCCCTGTGCCCTGCCTACCTGCACCACCATCCCACCTGGGGAACCAGGCCAGGATCCTACCATGTGTTGAGGCCTCCCAGCTGAAGGGGCACAAATCTGGGGGTGCCCTACCATTCCCTCTGCCTGGGGCCTCATTGCCCAGAGCATCACCCCTATCCCAGGGCACAACAGGGAAGGAAGATGTTGGGTTTCCTCTTTTCCAAACCCTCCTCTTCATTTCCCCTTGCTTTGATGCATACAAATAGCAGCCACAGCCACCCCTTCCCCACTGACAGCTCCTTGGCAGCCATAGCTCCTTCCCTCTGCCTACCCCTGCTCCAGCTGTGGCCCCCCAGCTCCATGCAGTCATGCCAGCAGCTATGTTCAGTGCCACCCTTTGTCTCAAGGACCAGCAATCAAGTAGTTCCACTCTGTGGCTGCTGCACAGCACATCTTCCTCCCCATGCAAGGCAGTGTTTCTTAGGCATCATTGGGGCACTGTGTGGTGCCAAGCGTGAGGCTTCTGCTTCAAGGCCATCCGTAAGCATCGCTTATAGAGGGTGCCACGACTGTCCTCCATCTTCCAGTCTGTCTGCTCAGCCTTGGAGGTCACATGCGGAAGACCCAAGAGCCTCAGGGTCTTTCTGAGCTGCTCTGCAGGTACTAGCATAGCCCGGGTCGCTGTGATACAGCTGCTGGAGAAGCAAAGCTATGAGCATCAGTGTAATGCTGTAGCACTGACGTTCATTGCTTTCCCCTCCAGCCCCACTCATGGCACAGCAGAGCAGGGGGTAATGCTTGTAATACCAGTTTCATGCGAAGCCTGCAGGACAGCACCCAGCCCTACCAGGGCATCCCTCCTGCCCGTGCAGGGTAGGAAGCCCCACGCAGGCCGCATTCCCTTCACCCTCTGCACTTACTTGTGCTGTGTCCCCTTGCCTGGGCTGCAGTCAGTGGGTGGCTCCAGAACAAAGCAGTCCATAGCAATGTGGTCGGCCAGGACAGCCACATCCCTGTCACTGAGGTCCCTTGCCCTGTGCAGGAACCGTGCCAGCCTGCGGGCACAAGGAGGGCAGCAGTCAGCAGCTGCTGGCCAGGGTGAACATCCTACTGGATCCCTCTTTATCTGACCCCAAACTATCTGCGCACAGTGCCCTATGGTGGCGGGAAAAGCCTTGCCTTTTCCTTGTGGACACACCTGCGAGTGCAGTTGCAGTGGAAGAGCATCCGGGTGTCTACATTGTGCAGTTGGTACTTCATCTCGTTGGGTGCAATCTGGTGCTTGCACTTATCCAGGTACCTGTAGCACCTGCACCTGTCTGGGCCTGAGGACAGCAGGGTGGTGAGAGACACCCCCAGCATCTGACCTGAACGGGCTGAGGCCTTGGGACACCCCAGCTGTGATGCACATTCTGCCTCGAGCACCAACTCACCTTGCTGCCTGTTCCACTCCCCAGCAGGCACAGGGGTGGTTCTGCACTGATCTGCAGCCAGGCTGGGTCTGATGCTGCTGTCTTCAAGGTGAGCCATGCAGGCAGGGTGTACTGAGCCCCCAGCCCCTCGCTGGGCTTCTCCCAGCACTTGCCTTCCTCCAGCAATGTCCTGTTCCAACACAGTCTTTGCTGTTGAGGGCCCAGGTTCCAGTCCCCACTGTGCTGCTGGGTGCTTGGTTGTGGACTCCGCCTTGTCCCTGGCAGATGCAGGGGACGAGGTACCTGAGCCCTGTGGCTGCTGGGCTGTCGCAGGTCTCTGTGTCTGGTGGAGCCCAGGCTTTTGCCCCAGTCCCTGTCGGAACTGCTTGTGCCCTGCTCTGGAGCACTTCCTTCCCTTGTGCAAGGGCTGCACAGCAGGACTGCCTGTCTCCTCAGCAGGCAGGCTGTAGGCGTACTGACTCTGCTGCACCATCCTGGCCAGGGGTACTACACCATAACGCTCACACCTGGGGACACTGCATGTCATGAGGCCCTGTGCCCCAGCCCTGCCATGGCCAAGCTCTGCCCTGCACAGCTGCTGGGGCAACTGGGTAGGGCACACTCAGGGCTGCAGCAGCAGATGCACCCAGCTGCGGGGCTGCAGCAGCAGGTCGCGGCAGGGGGCACCCCGCAGAGCACTCACCCCCCCCACCAGTGCCACTGGACACACGCCTCGCTCTCCTCCAGCATGATGCACGGCACCTCCAGCAGGTTGAAGAAGGTGATGCCGATGATGTTGGAGATGGA